TTTTCAATTATACATTCTTCAATAAAATAATATTACACGTATATAAATTTTTTTTCTTATTTTTCAACCACACATTCTTTATAAAAAAAAAAAAAGAAGGATTTATTATTTCAAAATACATTTTTAACAAAATGAGGCTCAAATAAGGGCTTAATAATCTTCATTTCATTTATAAAATACATTATGGTAGTTGATTTTATATACATTGAAAGTCTAGTCGACATAACCTATCATTGTAACTCTTTTCTAATTGTTCGACATGTAACATTAGAGATGTTGAATGGGATGAAATGTCTGAGCCTCCAAAACCCTAGACCCATGCAAGGGCGGTGTCTAGATCACCTCGTCCGTGGAAAAAATGAATGTTCATGAACCCTTTGATTGACTTAGATAATTTTACCTTAGATGTACGTGCCAACACAATTTTATTCGCTATGCCTTAGATAATTTTACCTTAGATGTACGTGCCAACACAATTTTATTCGCTATGCCTTGAAAGGGGGCGGTATCTGAATTCAGAATGTTTGATGCCTCTTGATCTTGATTGATATATATGTTTAATATACCAAATCCACATGTTTTCATAGAAAAATCTCTATCAATTAAGAATGTATATATGATTCCAATAATTCCTTCGTTATTTACTTCATATACTAGAAAAATGCATGAAAACTTTCACTGTTAACTAAGATAAGTGTTAAATGCTATCCAACATATAAAGGCTTAAAGCTAATCCTCTTAATAAAGTTACTCGATAATAGAATCCTAGACTTATTATGTATCAGAGCTCTATAATACTCGAAAGACGAAACTGTATCGGAGCACATAATGCTCGAGCCATTAGATCCATCTAGAAGCTTAAAATGGCAATAGGGTTTCAAGATTTCTGTTAAATGTGAAATTACTTGCCTACATATAAGGACTAGGACTACCATTCTTATTAGAGGAGGTCCCTTTCTAAGCCATAGAGGAGAAGGATTATCATGTTTTCCATTCAATACAGAGTTATGAGGAATACCATATTTTCCATTCAATACAGAGTCATGAAATTATATTTCTTCTTTGATATTACATGTCTATTTCCCTTGTTTTTATTCACAATATTTTTTTTGACAGGCTAACGCTGCCTCTGGAATGGGTGTGCACGACGACTGTAAACTGAAGTTCTTGGAATTAAAAGCAAAGAGAAACTACCGTTTCATTGTGTTCAAGATTGAGGCTCAACAGGTGGTGGTCGAGAAGCTTGGTGGCCCCAGAGAAAGTTACGATGATTTCACTGCCTCTCTGCCTCCTAGTGAATGCCGCTATGCTGTCTTTGATTTTGATTTTACCACTGATGAAAATGTCCAGAAGAGCAAGATTTACTTTATCGCCTGGTAAAAGTTTTCTTTGTTGTAAAAACTCAACTTGATGCATATTCAATTTCTCTATATAGTTTGTGAGGAAATAGAGATAGATACATACTAACGACAATATGACATGTTCAGTATGTAGTATTGAAGAAAAACAAGATTTTTTTTGTGGCCTGGTAAAACTTTTCTCTGTCTTCTAACTAAACTGATGAATATTCAATTTCTTTATATACAGTGTGAGAAAATAGAGACATAGATAAACAACAATGTTTGGTACGTAGTACTAAACATGATCAGACAATATCATTGGCATTTTGACATCAGTGTTGTCTACATAAATATGGTTATCGAAGATTATTTGACATTGTATTCTATCCAAACTTACGTATCAAACATGCTATAGCCCGTTTGGCTCCAGTGCAGAGACTCGCAGCACTACTTCATATCAACTGTTCCATATTGCTTAATCTGATTATTATGCAGACAAAACTAACAGATATCGACTTAATTAGCTGACTAATTAGCATATTTTGTTGGGATTTTAGGTCACCGGATTCATCGAAGGTGAGGATGAAGATGGTGTATGCAAGCACAAAGGACAGATTTAAGAGGGAATTGGATGGAATTCAAGTTGAATTGCAAGCAACTGATCCCAGTGAAATGAGCCTCGACATTGTAAAAGCTCGTGCAATTTGAATACTTTCATCCCTACTTCACTTCCCCACCACACAAAAAATGTTTGTATTTCAAGGATTATATTGTTTCATTCTTTAGTTGTTTTTATTTACAATGAACTGTTTAGCATAATGTAACACGACACGATATTCTGTAATTTTCAAATTTTTATGTTGAATATTTGTTCAAAATCAATGGAATGATAATGAACTAATTTTTGGGCTAAATTGTGGAATTGGTAGAATCAAGAGAAATTGAAAAATTCAAAATTTGATTTTTTGTCTATGCGTACGCACAGACTTATTTTTGTGCGTACACAAGATGTGTTTTGGCAAAATCAGAATTAAATTTTCATCTACTATACGTATGCAAGGTTTATACTATGTGTACGCATAGTATTAAAAATATAGTCGTTAGATGGTTTTTCAATTTGAAACTTGAGACCTGTTTTCGATTAAAAGTTGCAATTTTTCATCTTGTTTTAGCACCATTTCGTAATGTATTGATTGATGCTTATAAATAGATGATGAATGATCAAAACAAACACATTACAAACATTGAAAACATCTTACAATCCATACTTTTTTCCAAAAACAATCAAGTCTTGGTTTACATTCATATTCATTCTATCTTCGTGTTCTTCAAGTTTTGGAAGGATTTCACTTTGTGTTTTGGTGAAATTCTTTACAAGGCTTGTTACAATCTTTCAAACCATTTGTCGGAATACCCTTAAGCATCTCTTAAACATCGGAGATGGGGCAAATAACGTTTGAGGGCAGCGATATCGCGTTCAAGCCTTCACATTCGTTGTTACAATTTTTTGATTTTGTTCCTATTGTTGCCATACTTATTGTGAATTTCCTTTTTGTTTCTTCTTCATCCCTCCAATATTTACAACAATCTCAAACGTCAGTTGCTCTGATGGAGAGTGAGACTACAATGACAACCATAAAACTCATGAACCAAGATTTAGTACGGTTGGATCGGTTCGATGGAACAAACTACACTCGGTGGAAAGACAAATTGAAGTTTCTTCTCACTGTATTGAAGATCTTCTACATCCTGGATTCGAATCTTGCACCACTACCAGAACCAGCTAATGGAGAAACCGAAGCGGTGAGAAATGAAAGATAAAAGCGCCAAGAAGATGAGTTAATATGCCGTGGTCACATTCTCAACGTGTTATCAGATCGTTTGTATGACTTATATACAAACACAACTTTGGCAAATGAAATTTGGGATGAGCTCAAAAGTAAGTACAAAGTGGAAGAAGAAGGTACAAAGAAATTTTTAATTTCTAAATACTTCGATTTTAAATTTTTAGAGAATATTCCCCTTCTTCCCCAAATACATGAAATGCAAGTAAAATTTCAATAAGTTGGAGGCGGAATAAATTGACATACCGGAGACCTTTCAAGTGAGGGCTATAATTGCCAAACTTTTCGGAACTTGGAAAGGATACCGGAAGAAGATAATGCATAGTTCCAAAAATTATTCTTTGGAACAATTGCAAAGAATCTTCGGATTGAGGAAGAGTCGAGAATGCGTGATAAAAGTGACTCTCATTAGAGCACTTCCAAAGCAAATGCTGTAGAAAAATTCGAACGCCAACAAAATCCAACAAAAGGAAGCCTTCGAGGAACCTTAATAAGTTCAAGAAAAAGACCAAAAGAGGATGCTTTGTTTGTGGAAAATCTGGACACTATGTAAAAGATTGTAGACACTGGAAACACAACAACTCCGAGGGTAAAGTGAATTCCATTCAAGAAGACAAGATTGTGGCCACCGTGAGTGAATAAATGCAATTAAGGGAAATATTCTCGGCTGGTGGTATGATACTTATGCCACGGTGTATGTATCATATGACAAATCTTTGTTCAAAATATACAGTGAAGTGGATGGAGACCAAGAGATCCAAATGGGTAACGAGGTGCGGTCCAAAGTAATTGGAAAAGGAAGTGTAGAAATTATCTTCACTTCTTGGAAAAATGTTACTCTTACAAATGTACTACATGCTCCGAATATGAATATGTTCGTGAGTGTAAATATTTTGGGAAAATCGGGCATTAAAAGTGTCTTTGAATCCGGTAAACTTGTATTATCACTTAACGGACGATTGCTCAATTGGAATATGATAGTGCTATTGGAAGTCTTATAAATGCAGTTCAATGCACAAGACCAAATATAGTATATGCAATTAGTAAACTTAGTAGATTTACTAGCAATACAAGCAATGATCATTGGAGAGCCATTGGGAGAGTCATTGGGAGAGTTCTTGGATACTTAAAGAAAACCCAGAACTTAGGTCTACAATATCATAAATTCTCGACAATATTGAAAGGATTTATATATGCTAGTTGGATATTTAGCATGGGTGAAAGTAAATCCACATCGGGTTGGGTGTTCACTCTAGGAGGAGGTGCTGTTTCTTGAAAATCAAATAAACAAATATGCATAACACACTCGACCATGGAATCTGAATTTGTAGCACTTTCGAATACTGGGAAAAAGGCTGAGTAGCTTAAGGATCTCTTTTATGAAATACCTTTGGGATCGAAGAATATTTCTTCAATACCTATCATGTGTGATAGTCAAGCCACATTAACAAAAGTATACAATGAAGTATACAATAGAAAGTCTAGACATATGAGTCTAATACTTGACTACATAAGAAAATTAATAAAAAAATGGAATAATTTCCCTAAATTATGTAAGGTCAATTGAGAATTTAAAGGATCCTTTGACTAAATCTCTAAATAGAGATTTAGTGGCGTCTACGTCAAGTATGATAGGGTTAAAACTTTTTAATGAAAAATGTCCACCAATGACGGCAACCCTATATGTCATTACTCAAAAGGTAATCCACGGGTTCAAAGGGTAATACCAAGTCATTCGATATGTAGATAGTTGCAGCATTATCTAAATCCACAATGACCCTATCGTAATTAAATAATGCTGGTTGTTACTGAAGTGAGGGTTGAGCTTAAAACTTTTAATGAAGTTCAGTGCTAAAACACAAGTATCTCTAAAAGTAACAAAGATACTAGAAGAACTTCACTTAAATGAACTTCAAGGTGATGCCACCTCAATAGGGAGTTGGAGTTTCTCTCCTTAAAGTTCAATTGAATAGGATGAGCGAAAGACCATTAAAACGCTAAGCGAGTTGAGGAACTTGAAAACACGTGATACTTATGTGTGTGTTCTTACCGGTATTGTCATAATGAATAATTGGTTCAAAGCTTCCATGCTACCTCTAATTCTGACTTTACTTTGTTTGAATTACACTATGGTTAGATTCAAATCGAAAGATATCTAATCCTTATGCATAAGTGTCGTCTTTTTGAATATATGATCATATTGATTTTGAACAAGTGGAGGATTGTTGAATATTTGTTCAAAATCAATGGAATGATAATGGACTAATTGTTGGGCTCAACTATGGAATTGGTAGAATAAAAAGAAATTGAAAAATGTAAAATTTGATTTTTTACCTATGAATACGCACATGCTTATTTTTGTGCATACACGAGATGTGTTTTGACAAAATCAGAATTAAATTTGCTTCTACTATGCGTATGCAAGGTTTATACTATGCGTACGCATAGTGTTACAAAATAGCCGTTGCTGATTTTTCAATTTGAAACTTGGGAGCCGTTTTGGATTAAAATATGTTATTTTTCATCTTGTTTTGACACCATTTCATGATGTATTGATTGAGGCGTATAAATAGGTGATGAATGATCAAAACAAATACAATACAAACATTGAAAATATCTTACAATCCATACTTTGTTCCAAAAACAATCAAGTCCTGATTTACATTCATATTTATTCTATCTTTGTGTTCTTCAAGTTTTGGAAGAATTTCACTTTGTGCTTTGGTGAAATTCTTTACAAGGCTTGTTACAATCCTTCAAATCATTTACCGGAATATCCTTAAGCATCTCATAAACATCGGAGAGGAGGCAAATAACGTTTGAGGACATCGATCTTGCGTTCAAACCTTCACATTCGTTGTTATAATTTTTTGATTTTGTTCCTATTGTTACCACACTTATTGTGAATTTCCTTTTTGTTTTTTCTTCATCCCTCCAGTATTTACAACATTTTGTTGCTTTTTATTTAATGAGAGAGAATTCAACTCATTCATCTATTGATTATGATCATGTATATTAATACAAGAAGTTACGAACATAAAATAAATGTGTAGTAATACTGACAAAAACATAAAAGGTTTAAGGTTTCTACATAGGCTTATTTAGAATATCTCTCCTCTCAAGAATAGAATGAAGAGATGCAGGATCATAGGGTGTAGCCGTGGTTCATGGGCTCGAATACGAGGGACTGTCGACCAACCAGAGAGTCGGTCATGAATTTCTTCTCGACTCTTTGTGCAGTGCAAGCCATCGACTCTGAAAAAAGTTCATCTGCTCTTCGAGCCACGCTATCCTTTTATTTTAAGAACTTGGAATACTCGATCTAGAGATGGAGCATCTAAACAAATACATAATCTGTTACATCTTACAACCCATTTTAATTTTCTAGCACATTAAATAAAACTAAATATAAAAGGAACATAATTAAAGAAAACAAATAATTTTTAATTAAACGTAAAGAACACTATCAACCCTCCTTTTCCCAATCCGTCTCAGACCAAATTCTCATGGCAAGCACAATCATCAAAGTATATAAATAAACATAAAGCACGCTTGACCCATTTTAAAATTTTAATTATTATCAAAGCACATCTTCTTCTTCAAATTTCAAATGACATAATATTTGAATTGAAATCAAAATGTCCTAGGAAGTTAACGGTTGTGATCGAATGATTAGTAACAATCATCATCACGATAGTGATGATTGTGCTCCCATACAAGCCTCACATTTTATGAGAAATTCCCCACTTTCCAAATATTGAAGGGACGTAAGAGAATTTTACATAAAAACAGTAAAATAATTAATGTAGAAAATATGATTTGGATTTTTTGTCAGTCTTTTCTCAAATATTTGCAGCCTTCTATGAGAATCTTTATCATTATGCTCTCAAGTCCACCATGAAATAGTTCAAAATACAACCCTTTTGTCACATTAAATTGGACCAACCAGCCATAGAAACTGTTGACAGAATTACTTTTTAGAAAATAAGAAAATATCTGTATAATCTTGGTATGTTTTAATTGTAACTCCATATTTAGTTTGTCTCACAATTTTGTTGCTAGTAATAATTTTTTGTTTTAAATATGATACTTGTCAACAAATTATCCAATAGGTTGTTAACTGACAATCAAGCATCCACTAGGACAATGCTTGATACTCGACTATATTAATTATGGGTAAACGAAATATTAAACATAAAAGGATTTGGATTACACATCTTAAAGTTGACGCTTTAAAATCGAACACCAAGATCCAATAAGATAGAATTTATAAGATCAAACGAGCCATTCGATTTGTCTAAAACTTAAACGAGCATTCATATTTCAAGATCAGAACTATCATCTTTGTTATAACTTTCATCAATTGTAGAGCGAGTACTCTTTTTCATCCGTTGAGAATAGAAATTTGGCTTCCCAAACAAGGTCATTCTTATTATATTTTGCAAAGTAATTATGATTTATCCTTCAAAGTCTGACTTGTGAGGAATATGAATTTCACAGGACAAATAATCTTTTGTTACTATGTAAGCTTTTTATGGTAATGGTAAAGCTGATACATGCAGTTTGTGTCTGTGTGTAGGGTTTTGCTTTGTGGGTCGGGTGGGGATAAAGTAATCACGCCATCCCACACCACGCGTGACCCCCTCCTCGCTTTCCATTTTCAAAACCCAATGCCCCGCTCTCGTGCCCGTTCTAAACAAACTTCGTAATTGAGGATCCTTTTGACAGGACTTTTGAAACATTAAAAAATGTTTCTAGGACTAAAAAACTAATTTTTAACATGTTTGAATAATTTTTTGAAATTGTCTGTAGCAAACTAGTCTAAAGTAGTTTTTTCGAGATCTCTTTTACAATAAGTAGAAGTAAAAGTAAAAACTATCAAACGGGCCCATAGTCTTTTTCAATACTGATACCAGACATGTCTCGATATCATCAATTACTAAAAGGGAGGGCTCTTTTGCTCTTTCAAGTATAATATAATCAAGGGAGAGCTCTTCATATTTGAACGAGGAGCATAGCACTTCATCAAACATTCATCAATATCCCCTCTAGGCCTCTACTGCTTTGAAGAACCAAGATGTCTGTAAGTTCCTTTTGCTTTATTCATTAATACACACGCATCTATATGTATGTAGTTCTGTGTCAAAATATGAAAATTAGGTTGTTTTTTCATAGATGGTGGAGGTGAGAGTTCCTAACTTGGATTGCGAGGGATGTGCTTCAAAACTTAGAAAAGCCCTATACAAGCTCAAAGGTAATTCTTGAATGCACTCTAATTTTTACTAATTTTCAACCCTAATACTATTTGACTATCAACCCTTTTCATGCTAGTAACAAATTCTCCGTTAGACAATATTAAAGAAGAAAAACAAGTAACAAAGTCCATATTCGATTCCATCTTCCACTTCAAGGTTCAGTAACATGCAGGGCCTAATATGAATAATATTAATATCAGGTGTAGACGAGGTGGAGGTAGACATGGAGACACAGAAAATTACAGTGAGAGGCTATGCATTGGAAGAAAAGAAAGTGCTAAAGGCAATAAAACGCACAGGAAAAGCAGCAGAGCCATGGCCATATCCAGGATACTCTAATTATTTTTCATCATTTTATAAGTATCCAACTCACATTATAAACCATTATTATGATACATCAAGAAATGTGGCTGCACCCAGTGTACATACTTTCTTCCACACTCCGGCGGTTTACTCGGTGGCTGTCGCCTCCGACGAGCCTGTGGCTTCACTTTTCAGTGATGATAATCCACATGCATGTACTGTTATGTGAGAGAGCCTTTTATTTTCGTTTTCTTGATGAAAATCTTGAATTATGTTGTACTCCACTTGATATTTGTGTTATGGTTTATTAATTTATTTGAGCTTGGCATTTTTGTTTTGGACCGGACCCTCTTTATAATTTTATGTTAGTGCTAGGTTAGAAAGGTCTATAAAATATCTTAAGAGTTGTGCTACCTACACAAAGTCTGTACAGGGTCTGTGCAACAAACCCTGTGCAGGAGGCATTTTCCATATCTTAAATATGACGACTTTCTTCTGTTTGATACTAATGGAAATTAACGTTGGTTCAGTCAAATCAACTCCATTTTGTGCCTAATCAATACAAGAGAAGCATATTATAACACTCCAACAGTGTAAAAATTAATTTCAAATTGCAGAAATTCGTATTTCGAAATATTAATTAATCAAGACATTTGCCAATTATTAATTTTATTATCATATTTTAAGAAAGATAACGATTAATAACTTAATTTCTTTTTTCCATAGTGCTTTCGAGATTTTAATTGTAAAGGAAATTGACCATTTTAGTGGTCATACACATATTCAAGATTTCCCCAGCTTTAATTATTAAGAGATACTTTCCAACAAAAGTTTGGTCTTCACATCACAATTTCTAAATGAAAGGAATCTTGAAATGGGAAATGACATCATAAACAGCATTCTAAAGGATGGACATGAAAAGGCCCAAGTTGCTTTTGATTTTTAATTTTAGCCCTTGAATTATGTGCACAATAAATTATTTTTTAATATATTACTCAAATAACAATTTAGTCTTCAACTTTTAACAAAAACCAAGTTTCAAAATTAAATGTACGCAAGATTAAATACACTACTACTACTAACAACGTAAGATAATTTCAATTCAATTGCAAATGAAGCATCCAAAAAATCCATTGGGTCATAAATAAGCTATTTCCGAATTTTTATCCACATCTTATCATACTATTATAGTTATACATGTCGTTTGAATTTTGAATTCTACTTAAGAAAATAGGTGTTATATGCGTCATGTCGTTTGAATTTAAAATTCTACCTAAGAAAATACGTGTTATATGTGTCATTCTGGTATAAATAATCATTAAAAAATACAAAAGGTCCCATTTTCTGTCACTTTCTTTTAACAAAAATTGCATAAGTATTCCAATTTTCCACCATCAAACCCCAAGATAAAAAGTTGCACCCCTTCAAAAGTCTCTCCACCGGTGCTTCAAGTTTTCATTCTTTGCCAGTTCTATCATCTATGGCTCAGGTATGCTCTCCATGTAAATTCACCCCACTCCTCCCCACGCCACCCCACCCCCAGCCCCCTCTAAAGATAACAATGGTGCTCGGACAGTGCTGAAGTTGCCGGAGTTTGATAAGCCATTTTCGGTTTTGTTTTTCTTGATGGCAAGTGACGCCCAGTCTTACACGCAACAAAAATAGATGATTTGCTTAAAACTAACATTTAACGCAATGAATAATGATGAGACTATCTTATTTTCCATGGATCTTACCTTTTGAATTGTGATATAGCAGAAGGTGGTGCTGAAGGTTTTGACAATGACTGATGATAAAACAAAGCAGAAAGCAATAGAAGCTGCAGCAGATATACATGGTAATGGTGCAGAAAAATGAATTCCCTCTTCTTTTTTATTAATTTTTACTTATAATAATCTCCAATATTTGTTTGTAAAAACAGGGGTGGATTCAATTGCTGCTAATCTGCAGGAGCAGAAGCTGACGGTAATAGGAGAAATGGATGCAGTTGCAGTGGTGAAGAAATTGAAGAAAGTAGCTCCGGTTGATCTTTTGTCAGTTGGACCAGCAAAGGAAGAGAAAAAGGAAGAAAAGAAAGAAGAGGCTCCTAAGAAAGAGGACAAGAAACCAGCGGAGGAAAAGAAAGCTGAAGAGAAGAAACCAGCGGAAAAGAAGTAAACATATTTTCCTTTCTAGAAGTTTTACATGAATAAAACTCTTAAAAGACATTTTCACAAACACATACCCATAAATCATATGATGAATCATCCTCTCCACAAGTAATATCAAGAGTTATTATTATCTTTTGTTATTTGGAAAATTATGTATTTTTATTTTTTTTTTCCGTATTGCCTTGCTCAATCTTTGATATGCCACTTCATTATCAAGAAAAGTAATGTAATTTAATGGGACGAAGCAAAATTTTTGTGTAAGAATTAATACATGAAATGTTTGCAAAGATTACGACTCAATGCGTTACTATAGTAATACATTCATATTATTTCATTAGAGTTGAACCAACAAGATGAATCAAATGAGTTCTTGAACCAATTTCAATGTGAACGGAGATTATTATCATGGCTACGCAAGTGGATTCAGATCCTTGATTACGCATCTTATGCCTATTGGCTTTCTTGAGGGTCATTTTCCATTACAAAATAAAATTATCAGAAGGGTCCAAAAGACAATTAAAACCTATTGAATTAGGGAAAAAATGACCCTACTTTCGGGCTTTTCAAGCATCTTTCAGCCAAACGCCGCTGGAATATGACTTGCAGTAATGATTCATTAGGTCATTCATACGCCAGCCAGTTAGTTCTATAAAAAGGTTGAACCCCAACCTTAAGGGTCCCCCGCTGTCCCTGTCCTGAAACATCGTGAGAGAGGTAAATCGCAGGTCATGTCTCCAAGGGTACAAGGTGGAAGGCTACTTGTACACTTGCACTTATCCAATAGCCAAATTCATATTTCAGGATTCGAATCCTTGACGCGATAACCTCAAGTAAAGTTGGATTTTTTCACCCTCCCCTTTTACCACTTGAAGATGTGCCCTGGGGGCAACCACCCAGTTAGTTCTATACATATATATCAAATAACAGAGGCCGCGTGAGAATGTTTATATTATTATATATTATCTAAAAAATATTTGGTCAATTTGTGCATGAACTTGAACTAAAATTTGCTATCACTAGCGGCCCACAAATTTATGACCTGTACCAAAACTCACTTTTCTTATTCAGTTATTTCATGGTGTGAAAACAGATTAAAGATCCTTTTCAGTGCAAAATATTTCTTTAGGCAGGCTGGTGCCGAGCATAACCCGCCTTAAAATATCCCAAGCAAATAGGCAGGGGTGGAGCTAGCACCCGACAAGGCGGGCGGATCTAGCACCCAGCGAGTCGACGCGGCCGCCCGTGCTAAATCTGTTGAGAAGGAAGGTTAATGAACAATTATTATTCTATATACATATATATATACACTCTTCTTTTCAATTTTTAAAACCGTAAATAATAAGTAAATATTAATTAATAATTGTACCAACATCCAACAAAAGCGAATGAAGCTCAAGTGGCAGAAAAGTCACTTTATACGTTAGAGGTATGGGGATCAATTCCATATAATCCCACTTTTTCGTTTAATTTTTTAATACAATAAATAAATAAATAAAAACTAAACAATTATATATTTTTAATTTTCATTTTTGAAATAATTTCTTTAAAAATTTATTGACTCAAATTATTACTTCATAATTTATATACTATTATTGTTAGGTTTTATCAATTTATTTTATAAAATTAAATTTGGACAATTTATGTATTGCTTTTTATTCTTTTAAGAGTTCAAAAAATATTTTTTTCTTTAGAAATTAAAAATTATTCTAATTCTAAAAATCATTACTTTCAAAATTTTGCATAACTTTCACCTAAACTCGAAGCTTGTCTTTACCGTTTAATCATACTTTATATATAACTTTCATCTTATCTCGCTTAAGCTAGTAAAAAATTTGAAACTTGATCATAAATATATGATTGTGAACTATTTTCTCATTATTTTGGGTTGTATTGGATTATATTTTTAAATGTATATGATTTTTACATTTTAGTGTATTTATACATTGATAGAAATTTTTTTAGTATTATTTAATTAAATATTAATAAATAATTTTACTATTGTAGTCGTCAAAGTTCAGTTGTCGCCCTAGTTGACTTAACATCCTGGATCCGCCACTGCATGGAGGCCGCCTGTACTAGCTCCTCCGAATTTTATTTTATTTATTTATTTATTTATTTTTCTGTATATTGGGAAGCTGTTCAAGCGGCCACGCGAGCTTTGCTTGAATCCACCACAGCTCACTTGAATTCCTGGATCTGTCAAGGCAACCGATCCCAATCACGCCACCTTCACCTGAAGCAAAACAGGTCTAAAACATTAGAATGTTTATGTATGGCAATTTCTTTATCTTGCCATAAGATTTGACACTAGGGTCAGCAAAGTTTCAATTAATAAAATGCATTCCTTCACTAATAAAGCAAGAAAACAGAAAAATAAGACAAGAAGCTTGCATACAAGAACAAGGACAATTCTTTAACTGTACGAACAGATCATTCTTGATAATTTTAATCAGAATAGAAACAAATATGTCAATAATTGATAAAATCTGACGAAAATATGAGGGGATACTTTCAACCACTAAATTAACGTTTTGTTGCCCCTTCAAGCCTCTCTGGAACGGAAACGACTCCAAGAGAATAAGAGAAGCTTTGACTAAATCTGATATCAGCACATTGCCAATAAAAAATAACCTCTAATACCAACTCATCTTCACCAGTTCAATTGCTTTGCTATAGTGTGACTCGCGAGTGTATGACTCTAGACGGGCACCGTCTGCATGCAAGAGCAAAAGAAAATATGCAGTAGGAAATCCCAGAATATAATCTACGCTATTTGCATTCTCTTGTCTAGCATTGTGCTCAACTTCATATTTGTGCATGAATTTGATTGTCATTAACATCAATTACATGCAGAATGACAATGAGTACCTTAGTCTTTATAATTCATGTCTTCTCTATAATGCTTGGCAAAGCTTTAAATTAGCAAAAGTTACTTAGAAAGTAACTTTTTTACTTCTAGACATGTTTGGATAAATTACTTTTTTATTTACCTTCAAGGAAAAAGAAATACATTTTTCCAAAGTAACTCTTTACTTTCAAAACAGATAACTTATTCTCAAGTATGATCTTTAAAAATATATCCCTAAGACTTACTCACTTACTTATAAGTAAACCTTTCTAGCTTAGCCAAACATGCTGGTTTAGAAGCTTAGAAATAGAGGGGGAAAAATGGTCTGACCTCTATATAAACTGGCTGATCACTTTGACGGTAAGGCCCAATCTGGACAGAGTTGGAGTTAATATCCATAAGAGTATTAGCTTCTAGAAATGATAAATGATGCACAGGAAAGTCGATGTCCACCTAAGAATTTGATCTTGAGATTTGTGTAAGTATCATATTCGAAGAAGCTACCAACATTAGAAAACATTTAAACCAAACACATACATTGGAAAACATAAGAGAAAATCAATCAACCAGTCAACGAACGAACAATCAAATTCAATATAACCAAATTAAATCTACAAGAAAGAAAACTATTATTTTCTCACAAACAACAATAATCCCAAAATGAAAAACAGTGTAAGTATTACGTTCGAAGAATCCACATACAATGAAAAACAAAAGAAAGAAATCAGTGAAGGTGAACATCGGGCTTAAGTTTAGTGATAGCATAATAACTGTTGTTGATGATGCCAAGAATGCACTCCGGGAGTACCAGGGGTCATGTTCTTTCTAATTCCTTCAAACTGAGGCATGAAATCTCCTAGAAGACTTGTGTTTATATGTTAGCGCATGAACATGCAATGATGTTTAGCTACATAAATGGATAAGAATTATCTTGAAAGGCTAGCAATGATGAGGAAAACTAATTCCTGTAGCAGAAAATTCGGAAAGGCATCGTTTTCTTTTCGTGTCAGTATTTAGAAATTCTTTTTGAGAGCTCAATTGAATATTCTTGCCACAATTTAACAGCATATGTAACTATTCATGATTCAAAAGATTAATTGCTGCCAGAGGCTTGTCCCCTTTACCGAGAACATGGAATAGAAGATTAAATGTATGAAAATCAGGGGAAAATCCATTCCTTCCCATTTCATCAAGTAATCCGTGAAATTGATCAAGTTTCCCCAACCTAAACTTTGCAGACATAATGATATTATAAGTTTAACATGTCTGGAAAATGACCTGCTACTAACATCTGCGGATACACCCACTCAATCAACCTATATTGATTAACTATCAGAAGAGCATGTAAAATTGCATTAAATGAATTCTTAAACGGCCTATAATTAAATGTCTTTTTGACTTAATAAACTACAACCTTTCTAGCTAATCCAGCCTCTCCACAAGTACATATCAATATATTGAAAGTGCGTGCAGTAGTTGGGTACCCTTTCTCAACCATCTCATCAACTAATCTCCACATTGCCTTATATTCCTCTGACTCCGCAAATATCTTCATTATCAAGTGGTGTGCATTTGTCGTGTGTCTGTAGTTCTCTTATTCGCCGGACCACACAAAAAACTTGTATCCCAGCTTTCCACACCTGTTTCGGTTAATGTAATTTATCATTTTCAAGATACCATAGAGAACTTCTCTCACGAGAAAACCCAAAACGCTTATACCTAAATCACTTAAATTCGCTTTCACATTGAATCCAGGACCATCTTGATGGAGAATTTCAAGAATTCTCGCAGCATCACTTCTCGCCTCGTCAATGAAATTCTGTTTCCTAGAGAAGTTTGAGTGAGAATGGCCCTCAAAATCACCATTGACTATCAAAGAACCAATTGAATCATATAAAGTTGTAGGCTTTTCATCATCCACATTGTACTCACAACTCAAACTTTTCCAAGATTCATTAAGAAAATCCTCGACTCTGGCAAACCCATTTTCGACGCCATCATCGTTGAAATGTTGACTACATACACGGTGCAAAAATATGCAAAAGGAAGAAAATCACTTGAAAATTCTTGGACCAGAAAGAGCTACAGAGTACATGACAAAAGTATATTACAGATGGAAAAAAAAAAAAAAAAAACCATTATAGCAGTAGCTCATTAGCACCCATAAATTCAAAGACGCCCAACAAATGATATCTAAATCCAAGCACAGAGACTTCCAACATGTGAAGTTCCACAAATCGAAAACTACCCGCTAAATGGAATACTGTTACACACATTTCGGTAGTTATGTGTTGAAAAGATCATTCATTGGACCAAAAGTATGAGCTCTATGCCTCTATGTTGTTTGTGTTAACTGTAGCCCAGATTGAATTTGATTGGAACAATTCTGAGGGTTTTAGAGAACAGAAGAGTCGTTAGTTTTGAAAACAAAGGCTTGGAGAAGG